GGCAGAAGGAACAGGGGACGGCCAAGATTAACCTGGTGCAAACATATGGAAGGAGCCTGTTCCAGACTGCATTTGTCTTTTACCGAAGCTCAGACTCTGGCACAGGATTGGGAAAGTTGGAAGTTCTGACTGATGCGTCTGCCTCCACGACCCGAAAGGAGAAGCGGCGATGGAAGATGATGAAGAAGAAGAAACTATTAAAACTGAATAGTTATAATCAGTGTCAGTCAATGAAACTTTCGTTATCTGAAACAGCAATTACTCACAGGAATAAACTTCGCAACTTCCAAATTGATCGATTAACAGTGCATGAATTAAATTTAAGCAATAAATAAGAGTGCATACTTTTCCTCAGCGTTTGACCCTCGTGAACCTCGGGATAAGTGCAAAAGTCGTCTCTGAATTTATAATGGTGCCAGCTGATGCTAAAAGGCAACTGCTAGAATGAAATCGACGACCAATGATCAGCATGCGTGTACCTTTTGGGAACGACTTCAAAACCAACAATGCGATAAGAATCAGTGCTAAAGAGAAGTCAGTACTATCTTAAAAACAATACTATTTCTTACCTCACTTCATTAATTGACATCACGAAGTGCAAGTGATTGTTCAGATAAATCTGAAAAAAACATCAGTACAGTGAGCGCTCAGTGACGCGGACCGTAGCACAAAGGAGAAACTGCTGAAAAAGAGGTTGCTGTGTCAGACCCCACCCAAAGACCGCCTGCAACCTATTCGACCGGGTGAATAACAAAACGGATGTATTTTTAAAGATGCTTGGAACACACGGACAGTAGCGAAAACCATTGGCAAAGATGGAATGGAATGAAAATTCCAACAAAAATGACCCCAGTCCCCTGCGTGCAGTTCAAGTCAGCGACCAAACTACATCGCATGACCGACGACCTCAGCGGTGACGGATTGGTATTCAAGGAGCTGCAGACGCCCAACTGGAAGACTTCGACTAAGATGGCACAATGAGCGAAAAGATATGGAAGCAAGTGGAGAAAAATAGCACGCAGGCATCGAGATTGGCAAAGGTTATTCTCGCTAATTAAACAAAGTTGGATTAGTAAATTGTTATTGTTATGCGTGTGCGCGCAGATGCGTGTTGAACAGTTCATAGTTAACGACTCAATTTGCCGATGTTTCAGTACCTTGAGCGACAATCCTTTTATTCTCAGATTCATATTCGTCGTCATAAACGTGTCGAACTTATTAACCGCTAAAGAAATCTTTCTGCATAAGCGCATAACGTTGTTCGATAACTGGCTATTAACTAGCTATAGCCAGTCCACGTTCGAATTCGGCGGTCGACAACGCATGCGAAAGCTTTTGAACGGGTGAAGCTCTTTATTTTAAGCTGATTAATACACCGTGTTATGGTGGTGTGTTTACGCAACTTAAAACGCGTATACACGAAGCGACAGTGCTCACCTTGTCGTCCTCGATGAACCCCAGTTTGTAGCCGAAAGAGTACCTGAGGGCGTTAGCGTCAGCGTTCTCCACCCGGGTTGCACACGGCAAACTGTCCGCCAGTCTACAATAAAGAACTCACCTTGAAGAAGGATGATTAGAAGACGTAACCGCCTCTTACAGATGAACACGGTAATCCTCACGGATGCGATCGATCAACAACTGCGACTGATTTCGGAACAGAACAATCGTATTTTCACCACTTTGAGCGGCACATACGACTTTACAATCGACGCGATTTCGAACATTCAGCTAAAAATCAACATTCCTTTAATAGCATAAAATGCTTTCAACGACGAGAAAAGCAGTGAGATACTCTATTGGTGATAGCAACGATTCGATATGTGAGTCCCACCTCTGTTAAACTGTGAGCTCAGGTTTATATTTCAAACCAAGTAGTTTGCTTACACCAAAACTGCTGTGTAAACCAGTGTAATGCTCGCATGAGTCATTCTTTACAGCAATCTTGATATAAACAGACCCTAATTAGTTCTTAACCAGAAGATTACAAATACGAACAGACACCCAAATGTTTGTGTTTGTTCGTATTTGTAATCTTCTGGTTAGGAACTAATTAGGGTCTGTTTATATCAAGACGGCTGTAAAGAATGACTCATGCGAGCATTACACTGGTTTACACAGCAGTTTTGGTGTAAGCAAACTACTTG